CCCTTGAAATTTTGATTGGCTGACTGATGGCCGGAGGTTATCGGCAGCTTGTGTAACCTTGACGGTCGCTCCTGTTTGCCGGGTCGGGTTTAAGTGAACCCGACCCGACCCGAACCCTAAGTGTAACGATAGCGATAGTATCGAAAATCAGTCTTTAATTTTAGCCAATCAGGATCAGTGATGATCAACCAATAAAAACAAATTTCCGTCTTGCTCGGTAGATTAGAATTAAAGTGTTTAATACTATTAATAGCTTTTTACTTATTCAAATTTTAAAAAATAATTCTTAGATGTTTATTAAATTTTACTGTTATCATTTACAGTAAAGATGTATCAAGCAATAGGGGAAAATTTGCCGGGAATCAGAAATTCTACTAATTAATCTTTATTAGTACCTTTACAGTATCATCTGATAATCAAAAGACAGTCAATAAGAATTATTTTACTAATGCTATATTGCCACCCAATAAGCCCGTTCTAGAGGATCTTTCACTACTTGACTTTCTTGGCGGGGATGCACGAGTTGGTAATTCTTTTGTTTGAACATATGTCCGACTCGGATTCAGTATAATCTCCCGCAATTTTGTATAGTACTTCATAACACGGATCTTTAATATCAAATCAAGTCTTAAATCTTGCAGATCAGAAAGCGCATCAAGAAATTGGCATAGTCCATACCTTGAAAAAATAAACTTTTTCAATCAGTTCATTGATCATGTAGAAATGATTTTTAATCTCAGGGATTGAGAATCTTGTAAGTATATCAACAACATGTATTCCTTCTGGCGTGCGATGCATTGTGTAAATGGTAATTACACGCTCTAAAATAATAGTGAAGTAAGACTATAAACATCACATTTAGTTACCGGATTAGCATTACTTACGATATACTACAATTCCGTAGCTTTCTAAGCAGTTGACTTTATCCTCAGTAGCTCCACGTTGAAAAAAATACTGTCTCTGGTAGAACATTGAGATTTGCATTGCTATAGAACGAGCTTACATTAATAATGTACGCTAAAATTGTCGTTATCTCAACATAATAAAGAAATACACCAACCTTTGAAGACTTTCTCAGTGTCTTCACTTAGTTTTTTTAAATCAGTATCAATTGCGCTGCCAACGACTTCCATAAAACCAATCTCCAAATCCATCACGTTCAAACTGATATCAATAATACCATCTTGGTTACAGCCGAGACGAATACGATGTTCCTGTTGTTCGGTTTCATTTCTTTGCGTCTTTGTTAATATATTCTCAATTTCACCACTAAATATAATGATAAATAGTCAACAATTTCTTAGAATTAAATTAAAAACTAGCATTTTAAAGGTTTATTGCGAAACACAAAACCTACGTTCTGAATCGAATAACGTCCAAATCATCAAATGCTCGTGCTAAAATTGGGGAAATAAAATGTTCACGATAAGAAAATTCTGATTGTTTTGGATCCAAGAGTCTATTTACTGGTGCCTTGAAATTAAGTATACTAAAATGAAAGTAGATAGCACTGATTAATCTGGCTAGACAAACAACAATAACTATTTAGTAGTTACATACAATAGCTTATATAACTCTTGTACCCATAAAAGTATGTAATGTTGTTTGTAGTCGAAAGTACCGTTGTATGGCTTCTCCATAACAACGTCAAAGTCTAGTAGAATATCATCAAATATCGATTTTTGTATAGTGAAAGCTTTATTATAAGTGTCCAAAAGAGGTTTTATAGTATCTTCCCATTTGGAATCATGTGCATTGAATTGACACGACGCTTCAGACTAAAAAGTAAATAAGATTAATATAGTATCCTTAGACACAAAAGATCCTCGGTATATTATGCAGGGTTTTCAGAAATATATACATACAGCATCTCAGAAATCTTTTAATAATTTTATTTCAGTGGATGTGAAAATTTTATTCACAGGGTTTGCGGCATTTCGATCAGCAAGATCGATGATTCGATATTCAAACAACCGATGTGTGAAATTATCAATTTTATTTATAATCTCATTCATTTCGCTTATGTTGGTCTTCGTAAGCTGTGGGAGCAGAGCATTAAAGCAAACCAAATATATAAGAAAAAATAAAATAGTACTAGAAATAGCGGCTACCTTTTGAGTTCTTGAATTTTCGCGTTCCGTAATAGTACTAGAAATAACGGCTACCTTTTGATTTCTTAAATTTTCGCGCTTCGTGATAGTACTAGAAATAACGGCTACCTTTTGAATTTTTGAATCTTCGCGCTCCTTAATTTCGCTATATTCCTCATTAACATGTAACAACTGATACAATTAAAGAATACAAAAGGTGGTGAATACAAATTTATTTGAATTATTATTAATACATTATATTTTTACTTTTTTTGGTGGTGGTTGTGCTTGATCGTGATCATTATCAAACACTCGTTTGTTCTTCGCAGATGCAACGGTAGAAACAACCTGCTCTAAATTTGAGAGTGCACCCTTATTTAATTGCTTTGCCGTGTGTACAATTCCGTTCAACTAATATGGATATAATTTATAAGGAATCAGAACGGAAAGGTTTACTAAAGCCATACTGTACTATCAGGCTTACCTGAACCTGTGTCATTTCTGCTTGAGCCTGCATGATATCCAATCTAGATTTTTCCTCAAGTAAATTTTTCTTCGCATTAAGATGTTCCTTTTCTTCATTCAGCTTCCAGAAAGCTTTATTTTCCTTCGTCCTTTTAGCGTTCTTAATATAAAAAAATTAAAGAGATGAGATTTCTTGCCGTTTATGTAAAATAGAAATTGGAAAAAAACTGCGGACGAACACGCAGTCTTTCCCTTACGAACACGCAGATCGTAAGGTAGTCCGCAAAGGCCATTCCGGACGAACACGCAGTTTTTTTCTTTTACGAACACGCAGATCGTAAAATAAGTCCATTAAACTATATGCACGACACATCATTGGATGATGCGCAACCAACGAACACGCAGTCTTTCCCATTACCAACACGCAGTTACTAAGGTAGTTGCTGGGCACGAGAGTCGAATGGACCTTAGAAGCGAACAAATATATGGTAAAATTTAAACTTTCCTTGAAAGCCGCTTTCCAATTTTGCACTTTTCTCCCGACTTCAGATATTTTAGCATAGTGCTCGCTGAGAGTTTTTAATTCACCATTATAACGATTGTGCTCTGTTTTCATGTCCTCCAAATTACCGGAACGAAGACGAAAATCCAAGAACTTGCGGAGTGAAGGTTCATCAGTGCTTTCCCAGAAATCTATATAATTAGAAATTGCCGAATAACACATAACACCCATAAGGTTATATTTTTGTGCCACTTTCCTTACCGCGGTATTTCAAAGCACTAAGGCATTGAGGTGTTAAATTCATTTTGGAGAAAGTTTGCTTATCAGTTATGCGCAAAGACGCGTTTATATCATGATTCCCAAGCACTCAAATAGCTACCCCAGTAGGACCGTGAAAGATGCACCAATCAGATCTCTTCTAATAAGCGACGCCAATAAGATCTCCGGATCAGGTGTAACGTGAAAATCTCTTTTCTTCCAATAAAACTCAGAAATGTTCTATTAGGAGAAAAAGAGGAGATAACAATGCTAACAGCGGTTTTTTTAAAAAATGTTTTGATTTCACGTTACACCTGATCTTGTAATATAATTGGTCAATCGCTGTCGATCAGTGAAAATCTGTCGGTGCCACTGCAGTATATAGGATAACTTTCTCGTGATTGGTCGTCACATGAAATTGGATAACACGTTATTATTGGCTAATTGTGAAACATG